CCTAGTCTACTCCCTGCTGGGGTGATGGGCCCGAGCCGTGCACCGAGGCAGCCAGGTCTGACTGGAGGCTGCCAGTGCCTCCCCTCACCCCCACACCTGCCCCTGCCGGTGGGGTCACCACCACTCTGCTTTGACCTCCAGCCCTGAGGGATGGGCATTGGGTCTCCTGGGTCCCCGGACACCAGGCCCAGGCCCAGGCCTGGTAGATTCCTCTCCAAGCCAGACTGCAGGCCTGTGCTCCTCGCCTGGGGCAAGTCTGAGCCTGGGTGGCCTCACCCGGTGAGGAGCTGCCACCAGCTGGGCCCTGCAAAGGCAGGGACAGAGACAGAGACCGGGGATAGAGAAGGAGGCAGAGCCCTGCATCCTGCTGTGGTTCCCACAGGCCCCGAGCTGTGATTAGACGGACGGAGGGGCCAACAAGACACAGCTTGCTCCTGGGGGAGCTGTCTCAGAGGTATGCACACCCCTCCCCCAGGCCGTGCCCAACCCCATGCCAGGCATGTAGAACGTCCCACACCTCGAGCCCAGGAAGGCTGCCCCCAGTAGCCTGCCGCCTGCCGGGCGTGTGTCTGCAGGATCCACCATCGGCAGCCGGGACCCAGCTCCCAGAGCCCACACGCAGCCCCCGCCCGGCACCGGGACTGGCATCCCGTGTCCACATGCAGTCCCACCTGTCTGCCCATCCGTCCACCTGTTCCTCCGGCCGATGCTCCTCAGGCCCTGCCCGTGCCATCTGAAGTCACTCGGGGACCAGCTGGTGAGGTCTCTGAGACCCCCCCAGTGCTTGGGTCAAACCGGACAGCTGGGCTGAGATGCAGGACTGGCGAGGGCACAGGTGTGCCTCCCGCAACGGCCCGAAGTGGAAAGGGCACGGCTAGGCTGGGACCCCAAGGCAGAGGAGAAGGCCACCCGGGATGCGCTGGCGAGGGGTCTTTGAGGCCCAGGACAGAGACCGGGGCCCAGCTGTGGCCACCACCTGCTCCGGGTGTCCCCAGCCTGGCTCTGTGCACACAAGACCCTGAGTCCAGGGCCAGCCACCTCCCAGGCCCTCCACGTCTCAGCCCGCATTTCCTGGACCCGCGGGGTGCAGAGAGCAAAGCATCAGGCAGGCGTGCGGGTGCAGGGCCCCAGGAGGTGAGGGCCGGCGCTGCCCGCGGGTGGGCAGGCGCAGGCTGGGAAAGGCAAGGGCCACCTCAGAGCAGCTGGGCCGCAGGGCCTGGGGACATGGGGGGCCCAGGGGCGCGGCCTCAGGCAGAGCCGGCAGGGTAAAGCGCTGTGCGCTGAGGACAGCCAAGGGCAAGTGCAAGGGCAGATGGAGCCGGTGGGGAGGGCGCTCTAGGCCGGGCGGATGGGACAGAGCCGAGCACCGGGGACAGCGGCAAGGACAGCAGCTCCAGGCGCCTGAGCCGCAGCAGGTAGGCAGCACTGGGACCTGCGCACGTAAGGAGGCTGCGTAATCAGAACATCAGGGACCAAGCCCGGCTCAGGGCTCTGTCCCGAGCAGGTGGCGGCTTGGGCTCTGCTGGCTGAGACGCGGCCCTGTGGCCCTGTCGGCCATGGGGGCGAGTTCAGGTCCCACCAGACTGGCGTCCTGGGCAGCCAGTGGGCTATAGAAACCAGACCTGGCTGAAGGTGGCAGGGAGCCTGAGAACGGAGTGAGGGGCAGCCCCTGTCCCCCACCAGCCTTGAACCCCATTCTCACAGCGCAGCTGCCAGCCTGTCCTGCCCTGTCCCCAGGGGTCCCCGGTAGCTGGCTCTGGCCCCTTTACTGTCCTGGCCATGACCCTGCTCCCAGGCCATCCTCCTGGAGACCCCCCTCCTGCGTTCCTGCAACACCCTCTCCTGTTCTCTGGCTATTCCTTCCACCTCCCCTGGGCAGCGCTAGGCTCCAGCTGCTCCCCCCTCCCCTTAGCCCCACGGGCCCTGATGCCACCTGTGCCCAGGACCCCAGCAGTCACCCCAAACCTTCCTGCCTGTCCGAGTCGGTGCTCCGGCCAGCTGCCCGGCACCTCCGCTGGTGGCCCCAGGGCCTTTCCAGCCTCCGCTGCATTGCTCCAGACCCTTGGCCTACCCTGACCGTTCCGCCAACCTACCCCATGCCTGCCACCGCTGCAGATGCCCTGTCCCAGCCTCTGGGGGGGTCGCTGCTCAGGCCCCAGCATGTGGGCTCCTTCCTTCCTTCCTCATGCGGGCTCAGGACACCCCAGCCCCTCCTCCTGGGCTCCTGCCCTGGTGCTATGGCCCATGAGGCCCCAGTCAGCACAGCCAGAGCGAATTCACTATCTCAGCCCATAATGCTGGGGTCACCGCGACCCCCTGCCCACCCGTCTGGCCATCAGCAGCGCCTCGCACCTCCCTACTGCATGGTCCAGGGCCACTTCCTCACCTGGACCACTCCACCTGCGGGGCTCTGCCTCGGCCCTGCCCTCCTGTGGTCCATCCCCAGCACTGCAGGCTCCTGGGAGCAGAGCAGCAGCGTCCCTCTGCCACACCGCCAGGCATGCAGTGGGCACCGAGTGACTATTTCTTGCCATGCTAATTGGCTTTTTGCTGCCAGGGCCACCCCTGGGACCCCGCCTGCCACATGCCCAGCAGGTCCCTGTACAGCCCTCCACGCTGCCCCTGATGTTCACACAGTTCAGGTCTCCTGATGTGCACCCAGCACCAGCCAGGCCCCTGCTCAACACACGGCCACACCAAAGCAGGTCCAGTCCACACACGAGGCCCCTGAGGTCACCCCATCCACCTTCAAGACGGAAGCTCTGGTCACCAGCAGCCCAGGGCGGGGGCACGGTGCTGGTGAAGAAGCGGAGTCCCCGAGTCTGAGACAGAGGCAGGCTTGTCACCTGTTGCATATGGGGGTTCTGAGCCCTGCCCAGGTCACCCCTTCAGGGAGGTGACTGAGCCCAGCTGGCAGTAGCTGCAGACTCAGGAGGTGGCGTCACTGGGCCAAAGGCCCTGGAGATACACAGTCGTCAGAGCCAGGGAGGAAGGGGGCAGACAGCAGCAAGGAGAGCCAGGGGCACGCAGCCACCACGGCCAGCAGCACCCACTTAGACAGAAGGGAACTGAGGCCCAGCAGGGGCATTGCTCCCCGAGGACACAGGGCTAAGCTCACACCCCAGACTCCGACCTTGCTGGGCGCGCTGGGCAGGAAACACATGCATCCTGCAGGCTGGACACTCTGCCAAGGCCAGCCTCCCCATGGGTCAAAGGGGGACAAAGGGCAGGGCGGATCCGTCCACCTGTCAGTCCACTTCTTCCCCTGGGGTGAATGCCGCTTCCCCCGTGTGACACTTTCACTCACCAGGATGAGGTCACACTTTCTCCCCTGAAGCAGAGACAGGGAGACTGAGTCACCCCCCCACATGGGCAGGACCAGGCTCAGCCAGGGCCAGAGGCTGGGCTCTGCTGCCACCCTCCTCACATGAGGTGCTGGTGCCCACATGTGATGGGATCAGTGAATGAATGAAGAGTGAACGAACAGGTGACCACTGCTGGTCCCGAGCATGGGGCAGCAAGTGGAGGGCACAGAGGAGCAGGCCCTGTGCAGCTGCACCCACCCACGGCCGTCCCCTCTGCAGGCAATGCCAGCTGCTGCAGAGCAGAGGTCGTACCAGCTCCCGCACGTCTTCCCAGGCTGTCAGCTGGTGGTAGGGACACCGGGCTCTGGGCTGGGGTCCTCGCTCTGCTTCAGGCTCCAGGCAGGACACCAGAGTGCAGGGTACCGGGCTGCCCCCAGGTCAGGCCGTGTGGACAGCCGCACACACTGCCGCTCTTGCCTCAGTCTTGCTAGGGACACGCATGTACCTGTCCCAACACACACACCCAGTAGATGCATCCGCACATCACACAAGCACATGCTTATGAGCACATCTATAACAGGCATGCACACAAATGATGATGCGCCTGCATGTGCACACCCGTCCACACAGCCACACCTAACTACACCCATGGCAACCTGGTCTCACATTTCATGCACACACAGTCTCACACTCACACCCACCCTCACACACACACACACACACCCCACCTGCAGCCACACCTCTGCAAAGACCCTCTGACCTCTGTGACTGCCCTCGCAGTGCCTGCCTGGGGTCGGCAGAGCTTGGGGACAGCTGGAGCATCCCTTGGCCCTGGCTGGGTGCCCACATGGCACCTGTACCAGAGGTCCCCACTGCTCTCGGCTTTCCTGAGAGGAAGGCAGCCCTGTGTGGCGCAGCTGCACCCAGCGCCCGCCCTGCTCAATTAGCAGCCTGGTGCCTGGGGCTCCGGGGAGCTGGCAAGTCTGGAAGTGCACCCGGGTCCCTGGGGCTCAGGCCTGGAGCAAGCGTGGGCTGTAGTCCCTGCCCCTCTGCCAGGCCAGCCACCATGCCCAAGAAAGGCAGGGACCCGGGGCCAGCACAAAGCGGGTCTCTGACCCTGAGCTCACAGGGGCACTGTTGCTTGGGAGGAGCCCCCAGCGCAGCATCCCCCTTTAGCTGGCAAGTGAGCAGGTCCCAGGTGAGGATGCTGCTGGCCCTGCGGCAGGGTGGGGTAGCTTCACACCTAAGCCCAGGAGCACAGGTAGCCTCCAGGTGTGCCGAGCTCCTGGCAGCTGGGCGGGGCAGCTGGGGACCCTGAGCTTGGCAGAGCCACCAGCCTAAGAGCCCAGAACATCAGAACTGCCCCCCACCCACCCACCAGGCAGGAGCACTGGCTCGCCCATCCCTGAGCAGATCCCCACCCAGCCTCCCAGCCCTGGCTTCTGGTCCTTACCTGGCCAGCGGCCAGTGGTCCTCAGAGCTACCACGGCATGGACAGGGGTTTCCTGAATCTGCCAGCCTCCAGCCCCAGTCCTGTCTCAGCATCGCCAAAGCCTACCTCCCTGCCTCTGGTTGCCCCAACTGGCAGCAGGCATCCGACCAGGGACACCCGAAAGAGACGCCCTGTGGACTGCACCACGGCCTGGCAGGACGGAGCCACCCATGGGTCCCCCTTGCGGGAAGCATCTCCCCTACCGTGGCAAGGTGCCGCCGGGGGTCACCGACGTACAACATGGTAGGTGCCTGGGGGTCTGCACACGCCGGGGAGCCAGGATGCCGCTGCGGGACGAGGCATGGGTCTGGGTGGCTGGGAAGGGCGGGGGCAGAGCTGTGGCCCCTGGGCAGGCTGGACCACGGGGCTGAGGCTCCGCGGCTAGCGAGGCAGGAGCCAAGGATGCTCCGGAACATGTGGGCTGTTTGTTGGCATTTTCGCGTTTCCCATCTCTCTTGCTCTGTCAACTGGCTGCATCCAACAACAAAACCTGTAGCCCAGCCCTCTCCTCATGACTATTCATCGCCGGGCAGGCCTCAGCTTGCCCATGATGTGTTGGACGGCACCAAGGAGGCTGGGGGGGTGCGGGATGCGGGGTCAGTGGCGGCTCTGAGCTCACACTCTGCCTGCACTGCTGAGCCCCGCCCGGGGGACACAGGGGGCCACCGCCCTTGTGTGGGCAGCAGCGCAGCCCTGAGCTCTGCCCAGGAGACCTTGGACTTCAGCGCCCAGCCACCCTGGGGGGAGACATGGTGCTACCAGCCTCCTGCCTAGGGAACTGGGGTCCATAGGGACCACCTCGAAGGCTGAACAGAGAAGGGGTGGGCACCGGGAGACCTGTATCTGCATTCCCAGGAGCCGGGCACAGATCCCAGCACCCTAGAAAGGCCTCTGACTCACCTGCTGGGCACCTACAGACAGCCCTGCCAGCCATGCCGCCTACCTTTGCCACACCCCTGATACAGGGACCCAGCCACTGCCAGAGGGACCACTGGGGACCCCATCCTAGCCACCATGGTTAGCAGCACTCTCTTTTGGGGGTGTCTGCTTTTCCACTGTACTTTAACACTCTTGGGCACAGAACTGCCCCTGGCTGAGGGGCCAGGTCCTCCCTGTGGGCAGAAAGGGGGCAGCACAGAGACAGCACGGAGACCCATCTCTCCCAACCATCCTTGTCAAACGCCAAGCCACTTCCTCCTTCCCAGCAGCCAGGCCCGGGCAGAGGGCTGCCAAGCCAAGGACGCTCATTCTGGGGCTGTGAGGAAAGTCGGCACCTGGCACTGGCACTGTCCTCCCAGGGGCTGGGCCCGGGACCCGAGGAGGGGCGGGGAGAGGCTCAGCTCTGCACACGCAGCCCCGAGGTCCCCGTGCAGCCAAGGCTGTGAGCTCAGGTCACAGCGAGACAACAGAGCAAAATAAGCTGGGTTTGCCAGACAAAAGCAGCCTGGGACAATGTGCACGGGGGTGTGCAGTGGACCCTGAAGAAGCCTTGGGCGACCACAGCCTCCTTCCCTGGGCATGGGGGGCTTGGGCTTCCAGAACTGGGGCAGCTCTGTCTGGGGGTGCAGGAGCCCTGGTTTGTATCCCAACCCCTGCAGCTCCCACAAGGAGAGAAGGGGGAGGGCAGAGGGAGGCTGCTGTGGGAGGGAGGGACCAGCAAGGGTCTCAACCCCACAGTGCCCTGGCCTCCCGGCCACTCAGAGGGGAGGCACAGGGGCTGGAGGCCGTCCCCAGAACTACACCCCTCTCAGCGTGGCCCAGCTGCCTCCCCATGACCCCGCACCGCCACCCAGTGGGCCTCAGCATCTGCTTCTCTTTTTCGTTTTTTTGGTACCGGAGATCGAACTCGGGACCTTGGGCTTGCGAGGCAGGTGGCGGCACCACTGAGCAAATCCCCAGCTCTGCTTCTCTTTTTCTTTATTTTGTTCTTGTTTGTTTCTGGTTGTTGCACCCCTGCAGCTGGAACCTGCGGCCTCCCACGTGCTGGGCGAGGGCTCCGCGATTGAGCGGCGGCCGCGGACCTTTCTGATGTTTAACTGGGGACAGGGCCTCGCTAAGTGGCCCAGGCCAGCCTTGAACTCCTGGCCCTCCTTGCCTCAGCCTCCCAAGGACCTGGGATGCAGACGGCGCCACCACGCCGGGCTGGGCACCAGCTTTGCAAGTCCCACCCATCGGGGCTCCACGCCACAGGCTCCCCACAGGACGCTGGCGGCAGGGCTGAGAACAAGCTCCCTCCCGCTGGGCAGATGGCCTTGACCCCATCTGCGGAGGCGGCCAGAGGCTGGGCGCTGAGTCCTTCCCGCTCACCTGCCCCTCCCCGGGCCTCTGGAGAAACCAGAGGCTTCCCTGGTGACCCCAGGTCCACCCCTCCCCAGGGCCCCTAGCTCTGACTCTGGCGCTGGTCCCGCCTTGGCTCCCACGGGCCCTGTGGAGGAGGAGCAGCCCTGCCGTCTGTCCCGCGGCTCCAGCCCCACCCCTACCCATGGCTCACCTGCCCACGGCAGCTGTCGCTGGGGAAAGGCGGCCAGAGAGGCGGGAATGGTGAAGGCGGATGGGGAGGGCACAGCCCGGGCCGACACTGAGGGTCCAGGAGACAGGGGAGGGCAGACGTTGACAGGGGCCCCGAGGCCTCGGCTCACGCTGCCTCTCCTGTCCTGGCTGCTGCCCAGTGCTTGCTCCCTTCCCTGTCCAGGCTTGCAGCGCCTGCCCTTGTGTGGCCCAGGGCGCCCTGAGACCCTGCAGGAGGGGCTCGTAGCGCAGGGAGCCCTGAGTTAGGTCCCTGCCACGGGTCGCACCCCCACACTGGCTCCCAGGTGCTCTGAAGCTCCCCAGGGCTTCATCCTCTCCTGATCCTCCTGGGGAACCCATGGACAGCACCCAGAGTCCCAGGCCTCCACCTGGGCAGGGCCCCCGGGGCTGAGCCAGCCAGGGTCACCCCCAGCCCAGCTCCTCTTACAGGACCGGGCCTGTTGGACAGCAGATCTCCGAGCCTTCTGGGCCAGAACTGAAGCACCCACCAAGGACAGGGACCTGCCAGCCGGGACCCCTGGGGCGAGGGGTACAAGCTCCGGACATCACCCCAGCATCTGTCCCCTGCTCCCTGCCTTGAAGACTGGAACCTCTTGGTAACCCCATTTTACAGATAAGGACACTGAGCCAGGAGGGTCACTGTGAGTTCAAGGCCAGCCGGAACTGTACAGTGAGACCCTTTCTCTAAAGTTAAATTAAATTAAATTTAATTTAATAAAAAAAATAAAGGGCCCAGGGCCAGGGATTTAGCTCAGAGGTGCTGCCACCTGTCTCACAAGCGCAAGGTCCTGAGTTCGATCCCCAGTACAGAAAGACCAACAACAAAATAAAATAAAACAATGGGCCCCGAGACTGTCCAGCTGAGAAGCCCACGGTTTTCTGAACCCAGGAAACCTAGCCTCCAGCCCCCCACACCCATCACGGCCTGGGGACCCCCGGCCATCTCCACCAGTGACCCTGGTCTCCTGCCAAGGCCACCAGGGCTCCCCCAGGAAGCCCCTGCTGGGTCCAGGTCCCAGCCATCAGCTTTCCCTTGGGGGCTGAGGACCGGCCCCTCCCACCCTCGGGACCTTCACTGCCTACTTCAGGTCCCCCAACCTGGGAGCCACCATAGCAGGACCAGACATCCCACCGGCTCAGGGACAGTCCACTGAGCCTCGCCCCCTCTGTGGACGGTGCTGTCAGCAGGAGGGTAGGACGCCCAGTCAGCAGCCCCAGGGGCCGCTTTAAAACGGCCCTCACGCTTGCAGAGTGGGCTGCCTGCAAGGTGTTGGCTTGCGGGGTGGTGGTGCTGTCCCTCCAGATCCTCGGTGAGCCACAGTGTAAGCTCCACCTCCCTGTACACAGAGCCCCTGGGGAACGTTCGTCAGAGCTCCTCAGGGGCCCCTCGGTGAGTCAGCAACCCCAGCTCCTGGCCTGGAAAGCGGGAACACACAAGCCCGGAAGATCGGCCGACGCCGGGACAGCTCCTCCGGAGGACCCGTGTGCTGCACCCCGCACCCCCTCCCCAGGCCAGGACCCTGCCACCACCCCGAGAACCGCTCCTGCGAGGGCACAGGGATGCTCAGCTTGGCCTGTGCCCTCCCACCCTCGGGGGCCGCTGGGCCTGTGCTGTGTCGGGCGAGCTCACACTGGCTGAGCCTCTGTGTCCCCGCCTGCTCCCCACGGGGGTGCCCACATCATTCTCGCCTCTCTGACTTAATAAACAGCGTGATGGTGAAATCCAGCTCTGATCCTCTCATTTCCACCCCCAGGTCGGCTCCAGCACCCGCTGCAGCCAGGCTGGGACCTGTTGTCATTACTGTCACCCGGGCTCCAGCCTTGCCCTCGGAGCAAGGCTGCTGTCTGGGGACAGTGGGCAGCGGTGTCAGGAGGGGGCCAGCAGCCTGGGCTCCAGGGAATCCCCACCTCGGGGAGCAGAGCTGTGCCCCAGAAATTCGTGCACGGCTCTCCCTGCCGCAACCTGACCCAGTGGCTGTGTGCAGAGCAGCCCTGGCAGGCGTGGGCTCCGGAGCCCTCACCAGGGCCGGCTTGGCAGCGGGTACCCTGGGTGGGGCGGTGCCCGGCCCCTCCTCCTCCGCCAGCCCCAGGGGTCCCCGCTGCACAGCCCTCAGGCCTCTGCCTTTTCAGCGGTCTTTGTTCCTCTTTGTGGCCTGGTGCCAGCAGCTGCCCCCTGGACCAGAGGACACCGATGTCCAGAGAGGGGCTGCTCAGGGGGAAGCAGGGTACAGAGAGCACAGCGGCCATGGAGCACCTGGACCAGCCACGCCGGAAGCCTTTCCCTCCCCAGACCTAGCCGCATGCGAGGCCCTTCCTGCCTCTGGTCTGGCCAGGCCTAGAGCCCGGCAGACCTCTGTGCCCATACTTACAGAGCCAGTGCACTTTGCAATTCCACGTCCTGGCAGGCCTGGTTTGGCACCTGAGGGCCTGCCTCCTGCTGCGGGCCCCCACGACAGTCCAGGCCACCCGAGTGCCCCGCATTCCCTCCTCCATGGCGCACTCACCATGACGGGAGTGGTCAGGTCCTGCAGGTGGAAGACGTCCATGGCGGCCTCCGTGCTGCCCACCGCTTCCGTGTTCCCCTGTCGGGCCTGTGAGAGGTCGAAGTAGGTGCTGTCTGGCTCCCTGGGCCGGGGAGGAGGAGGCAGCCGTCAGTGCCCAGGGCGGGCATCTCTCACAGACCTCCCGCTCTGGTCCTCTGCCTGTGCATACGGCTGGTGGGAGAGCCAGGGAGGCGCGGCCACTCGTGGGCTGGCCCGGGCCCCTCCTGGCCCCAGGAAAGGGCCCAGCTCTGGCCCTCAAGTCCCCAGGAGCACAGCCAGCGGGGGCCAAGGGACCTACTCACAGCGAGCTCCAGAGGTGTTCAAAGGTGGAGCCCTCGTCAGGGGCAGTGGAGGAGGACTGGGCCATGTCTCACACGCCGCCGGCCGGCCGCGAGGC